AACAAATTCTTTACATGCTCCTTGAGAGAATCATCGCTATCCAGTGCATTTGGCGAATTGACTAATGTCGGGAAAAGCAATAAAGTAAGCAAAACATAAAAGAGGAATCCCTTGTTTCTACTTACCATTACCTTCCCCCGAAGTTACACCCAAGCCTGTCATGGCTCGTGCTGTGCGGTTGAGCACGCTGGTAAAGTTTTGGGCTTCGGCTTCAACCATATCCGGCAAGGTGGACGATTGATGCTGAAACTGCAACAGTAACTGCGCCAGTATGGCGGGTATTAGGGTCCTGTAACCAGATGCATTTAATCAAACCATTTTGTAAATGCTGAAACTCAAACCTTCGCTTACTTGATCACTATGTAGACAAGGCATATTATGCCGTTGACTATGGTGGGTCCTAGAAAACAGCGAAACAAGGCGTTGCGCAGACGTGGCTTTTTGGACTTGCGATGGGCGTGCTCCAGTTCCTTGTACCACTCGCTGACAATAATTGTACATATAAATAATGATTAAATGAGATGTCTGTTTTCGCTTACTCCTCCAGCCGATCGCCTAGCTGCTCCGAGTGATCTTCCTTCAGACATTCTGTCAAATCATCTGTATTCAGGCCCTGTCGTGATCCGCGATACAGCAAAGGCACAGCCCAGACAAATAGTAATTGCGACAGAAAGTTCGCCCCTTGACGGGGATTTTTCCGTTCCGGCTTCGCGCTACTATCCATTCTGTCATGGAAGCCCTGAAACCTGCCATCGGAAACAATGCACAACCGTCAAATAAATTTCCCAGCTGATAAGCGCGCATGGGCATGCCCGCATAGTATGGGAGCAGCATTCGCCGGGTTGGTCACATACATCCACTAATCCTAGGTATCAACTACAGCAACTTCGTGACTACGCACTGATTCCTTATCGCTTCACATTATGACAGCCACAGCTGACGACCTTGTGCCCAATTTTCTTTCGCTCTTTGTGTACTCATATGTTCATTACTCTTTTCTGATAGTCGCAAAATTAGTGATTAATAAGGGACATTGAAGCAACTGGACTTGAGATGTATCTAATAAGAATCTTGAAATTTACCAATAAATAATTTGTTGATCTTATATTTTTACAAATTTAAAAATTTGCTATCTCCATTGAATCACAGGCATATTTCTATCCTCAACTCATTTGAATGGAGTTTTTCATTTTGTACGAAGTTTCGTTAGTTAATTAAACATATGAAGCTTACAATTAACACAAGAAAAAAAATGTATTTATTAATCCACACTTTGCAAAGTAAGCTTCACAAAAAGATGGGCGATAAAAACAATTGGCGCTCGGAATTCACGAATGTAATAGATCATGTTGCGAATATGCTTTGCAGTTGTTAGGCTGTTTTATTATTTTTTTAGAAACACGTCTAGACACACAAATGGCTGTTGGCATGATAACAGCCAACTGGCTAATTATATAATAATATTACACTAAGACTTATTCTTCTGGCTGCAAATGCTCTGCGCACTTGATAAATAGAGAAGCATTCGTATCGGTCGTTCACTTAATTGTTTATTTGCTTGCTCGATGTCTGCAATTGATAAGATGCGTCATTTGAGCGTAAATCATATTGTATTTGAAGACGTTGACAATTTTGCAGCTCTCATGACAATAACCATAATTTTTATTAATTAGCGTTGCCCATACACATATGTACATAGATCCAGGGCATACAAATAGGCGTATGGGATCAAAACGTGCGTGATAAGCCGCCAACATCTCCTATGTTTTGTATGCTTAAAGATGACCGTTAACCATAGGCTTCTGCAATAGCTACCCCTGATCAAGAGTCTATTAACTTATTTAAGTTTTATAGCTCTCTGTTTGTTGTAATAACGGAATTTCGTAATGTTAAATTCTTAGCCCGTTTATTAGATCGAATGGTCTTTAATTGCCTGCCAGTTATAAGTGAGTGCAATCCCCTTGTTTGAACGAGTTCTATAGAATTCAAGGGTAGTGTTCCAAGAGTTTGTTGGAACTCGCGGATGTGCATGACTTCAATATTTATAATTGCTTCTCTACAAATCAATTAATAAAAGTGTCACGCCAAACTTGTGAGTAAACAAATGTACATACATATTTCAAGAATGTATATAGTATGTAAGTATGTAAAAATTCATACAGCTGTTTTCACTTGAGCCAATTATAAGATGCTCTGCTGATATTTACAGACATTTGAATTATTAAATTACACTGATTGTCAAAGAACCTAAATATATCGCATATTATTAAACAAGGGACTGAACTATTAATGCTATTAAAATAATAGGTTAGCAATGTAAGCCCCAGATACGATTTTTTAAGATATTATCGGAAGCCAAGTTTACACAAAACTACAACAATAATGATTTGTTGCTTCATGCGCTTAAATAATTTTTTATTCCCAAACCGGCTGCTGAAATATGTCGGATAAGAGTATTTCACCACACACTCCCTCTCTCTCTCTCTCTCTCTCTCTCTCTCTCTGGCTTTCTCTCTTTCTATATATTCTTCTCCCCTCTCACTCTACCCCTCTCACTGTCTCTCTCTCTCTCTCTGTCTGTCACTCTCTACGTTTATCTACTCCTCTCTCACTCTCCCACTCCCTCTGTCTCTTTCCCTTGATATCAACAGTTGTTCCAAAATGTTCTGTTTTACACTTCGCGTAAATTAATCACTTGAATTATAATTTATTGCAACAGAAAAACAAAAAATACGCCTTAGATTACAAATGTGCTTAGTGTCGACTTTTGAAAGTATAGAAATATGAATACATAAAATTAACGTACATACATATGAACGTATATTATACACACTGTCATATTACTGCATTCTAGGCTTGCATGCGTTGTTTTATATAAGTACATACATATGTCTGTTTAGATGTATTTGTATGTATTTATAATCAGGCAAGTGATATCGACATTACTTAAACATATGACTGCAAACCGGCAAGTTGTTTGTTGGCAAGGGGCTAGCACATAGAAGAAAGGGTACCCAAAATGCTTTGTTCGGTGTGCTCCGAGTCATTGGCACACCCCTTAAACGGCGCCGAGGTGCGAAGGGTTATTGGCCATTTCCCATATGCAGCGACGTGCTTAAAAATAACACAGTCCATAGCAGTAAAATGCTAAACCTATGTGAAAATATGAACCAATCCGCTGTAGCCAACGACAGAAAATTATACGGCAGACTTCATGACGTAAAGTCTCAAGCAAATTACTTCACACAGAGGCATATGCATGTACATATGTACTCAAAAATAAAATAATACATTTGTATACTTAACACACAGTTTTTTAAATGTATATCTATTTTTGCATACCCAGCTAAATGTATAATTAATGTCAAAATACTCAATTAATTGTTTTTATCTATCAGAATACGTATTTGTCTATGATTATGTTAGTTTTGATTGTGAACCACTTGAAGCTTTCGATGTTGTAACACGTGCGCGAAATACACCACCCGTTTGGACCCGGCAACACAAACGAACTAACCAACCAACCCGCTGATTTGAAGCACCGCCGATTTGAGCACCGCCGGAGCGCACAGCTCGAATGCAACTGAAAGTTAATGGAACAAACCACTCAGCTAATGCCCGCCAGTTTCTTGAATCCCCCAGTGGGACAGAGAAAGAGAGAGAGAGAGAGCGCTAGCCGTTTGTTTTGGCAAAAAATCAACTCACATTGTTAGTGTCTTATCGTTTGGCAGAGCGCATTGTTTTTATGAGACTTTTGAGAGTACACATGACTACAAAAGCGGGGTACACAAAATACAAAGGGTATGAATCGCAGGCGAGTGTATGGACGTAGAAAAGTCTTCGACCATAGTAGCTAAGCCTCTTTAAAAATGTGTTAATATTAATAACGAAAGAAAAATTTTGGGTTTGACGCGTATTTTCCATCCAAAGAAGGTAACATCGATCCGATGGTAAGCTAAAAAACTTCATTCAGCCTTTTGTGCAAAATACCACTGTTGCGATTATTCTTGTGTAGGACTCTGAGAGTAAATTTGAGGTCGATTGAACGACCCTTAAGGCTTCTCCAAACAATCTTTGAGTTGTATTTAGCCAAGCCATCTCAGCTCTAATTCTGCAAAAAGTGTGAAACATGTTGCAAACGAATTTTCAAAAAGATTGAGCTTGAACCTAATCAGGAAATAGGATTCGGCAAATAGTGTAAGACACGTCTCAAATGAATTCTTATAAAGAGACATGATATTTCTAAAAAAAAACCCGTCTTAGCGTGCACTGTATTACATAAGATAACTACAATCGGTATCCTAACTCTTACGGCTTGGGCTGAGCTTTGATCGCCAATCAGGCAGTCAGTCAGGAAAAAGAGTTTTATGTATAAAGATTATGATTAAAAATAAGATGCATTATTTTAAAATAATAATAATACGTTTACTATCTAAGTCCGTAAGGTAAAAATATTATTTTATATATATCAAACCTAAAATATTAATGGGTACCATATTTTGAGTAAATGTAAAATATATTGTATTTAAATACTTCATTATACAATATTTAAAACTATTTAAAAAAAAAAAAACATATTCGATTTATTTACATAATATTGTAACTGTATATTTATGCGGAACCAAAACATTGCTTAAAGAACACCAAAACTTCGGGGAACTTGACATTCAAAAGAAGAAAAAAAGAGGAATCGAACTCGAAGCAATTGAAGTATTTACATTGAGCGCTCGGCGGTTACCGTTAACGAATCTTTGGCAGCTCCGCACAAATTTGCATGGCCAGCAGTATCGGAGGCGAACGCATTTTCAGTCCACTCAGCGTCTACTTTCGTTGGAGTTTCGTTTATTGGATTTGCGCATACTATTAGGGCACACTGGCCTGTGGTCAGCAAACTAGCAGGAAAGTATCTGTCAGATACACAGCTCAGGTAGTCGGGCATTTTTGCCAAGCACTGCAACCAAGGTGCCTGCGATCTTATCGCGCCTTTGCGTACTCAAACTCGGCCTGTTCGCTCTTCGCATTTCATTTGACCGTTGTCGGTTATAAGGCACAAGCCGGTCGGCATGTCGAATCAGTTCTGTGCTGGCCTTGCCCTTGTCGCGCCGTGAGTTGGGTTCGTTTTTCGTCTTGCTGACAAGGTAGATAAACTCGCAGTTAGTCCACTGAGATCGCTTCCTGCTGGTGTGTCTGAGAGTCCCTTGACGATCTGGTTTCTCAGGAGATGACCGAGCAGCTGTACCGTGGCGGTCTGCTGTGCTGGGCTGTGCAGCTGCTCAGGACGTTGCTTGTCCGCATCATGTCTCACTTTCAAGCTGAGCTTCAAACTAGCTATACAAGCCATAGCCTGCAGATTGTGCCTAAATATGTGCCCATACCACGCGCCAAGGGTCTGCCCATTGTGGGTACTCTCCTTGATTTGATAGTAGCTGGCGGTGCACCGCAGTAAGTTCCACATGTGAAAATTAAAAGAGCAGCTAACCGTGAAAACCATCTACAGGTTACACAAATATGTGGACGCACGACATCGCCAGTACGGGGCCATTTATCGGGAAAGATTGGGCGGCACACAGGATTGTGTGTTCGTGTCGTCGGCAAATCTAATGCGCAGCCTCTTTTTGCAAGAGGGTCACTTTCCGAAGCATCCGCTACCGGATGCCTGGACATTCTACAACAAGCGACATGCCTGCCAACGTGGACTCTTCTTTATGTAAGTAGCGCACGAAATGAATTGCAAATCATATTAATCCGCTTTGGGGGAATATCTAATGGGCACAGGGAGGGCGCTGAGTGGCTGCACAACAGGCGTATTCTTAATCGGCTGCTGTTAAATGGTAATTTGAATTGGATGGACGTGCATATTGAGAGCTGTACGCGCCACTTGGTGGACAGTTGGCAAGCGCACACAGAGGAGGCAAACAAAATCGGAAAGCACTACGAGCTGCCGGATCTCGAAAAACAATTGTATCGTTGGTCCATCGAAGGTAGGCTATAAGAGAATTCATTTGTGAATTCATAACTAAAGTTCGGGCTCTTTCAGTGCTCTGCAGCATCATGTTCGGCTCTAAGGTTTTGACCTGCCCCAAAATGCAGTCCGCTCTGAATGAATTTACACAGATCGTTCACAAAGTTTTCGAGCATAGCTCGCGACTGATGAACTTTCCGCCTAGGCTTGCGCAGCTACTGCACCTGCGCATCTGGAGCGACTTCGAGAGCAATGTGGGCGAAGTGCTACAACAGGGCGCTGCAATCATTGAGCTCTGCATTAGCTTGCAGCGGGGACAGCCGCAGTCGGAGCAGGATGAGGCCTTATACCACAAGCTGCGGGCTGCGGCGGTGCCCAGCGAAATGATCAGGCGCATTTTTGTGGATCTGGTCATAGCAGCAGGTGACACGGTCTGCAGTTTAGCGGCTAATTCTCTCTGACTTCAATAATTCTCATACCAATTCCCTGCAGACCGCCTTCAGCAGTCAGTGGGCTTTGTATCTCCTGTCGCTCAATCAGCTGCTACAACGACGTATCGCCCATGAGCGTGCTGCGGCTGAATCTCAGCTTCTACATGGCTTGATTAAGGAAACGCTGCGCCTGTATCCAGTTGCTCCATTTATCGGCCGCTACTTGCCGCAAGATGCACAGATTGGCGGCCATTTTATAGAGAAAGATGTCAGTTGCATACATTTGCCGCTCCAATTTCTACGGTTTTTTACCATTTTCTGTCTCATTTCAGACCCTTGTGTTGATCTCTCTCTACACTTCCGGCCGAGATCCATCGCATTTTGAGCAACCTCTGAAAGTTCTGCCCGAACGCTGGTTACTCGGGCATTCAGATCGGGTGCATCAGTCTCATGGCAGCCTGCCCTTCGCCATTGGTCAGCGGTCCTGTATCGGGCGACGTGTGGCCATGAAGCAGCTGCACGCGCTACTGGGAAAATGCGCTTCCCAGTTTAAAATGCAGTGTCTCAACGAAAAGCCTGTGGATTGCATGCTGCGCATGGTCACTGTGCCCAATCAGATCTTGCGCCTGGCACTAACGCTCAAATTTGAAAAGGGCAAAACAGCACCAGTATAGTTTCACATGGGCCATATTCATATCGTTCGGGATATATAAAACACTACCATAATTCCAATAAATATGTATGGCAGTCAGAGCTATCTAACTGAGTTACAGCCCAAACGTAGTTAGACCTTGTAATTGTAACCTTATTTCTAGTTTAACTTTTAGTTTGTAGAGTAAAAAAAAAAATAATAACTTAAATAATAATAAGCTCGTAGACTCTACGGTTGCGTGTTCTTATCTAGAAGAATCCCTGTACTGCGTCCCAGCAGCATGAGCAGCTGTCGCTCATCTGTACCTTTCTTTGCCCACGGCTGCTGCATTTCTTGGAATGAATCACTGGCCAACTGTCGAAGTGTGTCGGCCTCGTCGCCGGTAGCCTCGACCATCTGTGCTAGTGCTCCATGGGTTTTTTGTAATAGCACATGTGGCACATCAAATTCAACCGCATATCCGGCATCCATTACAATGATGCGATCCGAATCCATGACGGTGTGCAGTCTGTGTGCGATAGTCAGCACTGTACAGTGCTGGAACTTGACACGTATCGTGCGCTGGATCAGTGAATCCGTGCTGGGAAAGTAGTGAATAGTTTTAGTTTGTGTGCAACCTTTGATAATAAGATGCTTACAGTAGATCCACATTGGCAGTTGCTTCATCCAGCACTAGAATTTTGTTGTTGCGTAGAACCGCACGCGCTAAGCAGAGGAGCTGTCGCTGACCCACACTGAAATTGCTGCCACGCTCAGTGACCATAAAGTCTAGACCGGGAATCACCGTCCGCAGTTCAACATCTTCAAGAGCGCACCACAGCTCCGAATCACTGTACCGCTTGAAAGGATCCAAGTTATATCGAATTGTAGCCGAGAAGAGCACTGGATCTTGTGGTATGATTGAAATGCGACTACGTAAAGTCTCCAGGGAAATACTACCCGTTTCGATGTCATCTATATAGATTCCACCCTCAATGTATGCCAGACGAAATAGTGCGCCAATTAGCGAGGATTTGCCCGCACCAGTGCGACCCACGATTCCCACCTTCCAGCCAGGTTCAATAGTCAAACTAAGCTGATTAAGAACAGACAAGCCGTTGGGATCATAGCGTAAGCTCATAGCGCGGAACTCAATCTTTCCGTGTTGCGGCCACTGCTGAGAAGGTTCATCGTTATCACGACCCGCTGGCTCCTGTTCCAGTTCCGTGTACTCCAGCACGCGTTCCACACTAGTCATCTGTTGCAGGGACTCAGCTGCCTGGCGCACGCAATACTGAACCATACCTGTGAGAAGGATGGCTTGCGAGATGGCTAGGCCAACATTGCCGCTGTATATGACTGCAAAATTGAGCATTCAATTAAGTTATGTTTGGTATCAGCTAGTTGGATGCCTTAGCTTACATTCGTTGGAAGCAATAAAGCTGAATGTGACAGCTGCGAGGAAGACACAGTTGATCCCATCCACCCACAGTCCAAGAGCTGTGTTTGTTGCTTCTGCTAGCTGCCAAACGCCGCTGTGCACATCCTGCAGAAGATCAAACTCTTTTGTTGCTATGCTCTGCATCTGACGTGAGCGTATGATCGGAATGCCAGACAAAGTTGAGGTTAGATGTGAAAAAACTGGGCTGCGACAAATACCGTCCATGCGCTTAAGATCCTGCGAGGGTCGTAAATACACCTTCAGTATGAGCATGTTCAGAAGAGTCATAACCAACACGGCAGGTAATAACATAGGATTCACCACTAGAATCACAGCTAATATACCAAATATAACCAAGCCGTGTTGTATAAATTCTAGCATGTTTCTAGGCAGCCATTCGTCCATTGTTCCAATATCCTTAGAAAACCGATTGAGGATTTGACCAGCGGTGTTATTGTGGAAAAATCGAATGGATGTATGCAATATACTCCTGAACATTCGGTCGTGCAGGACCTTGGAGGCGTGCATGCATATCTTGAGAAAAAGGAAGCCACGGAAGGTAGTCATAATCACCACGCCAAGAATAAGGGCACCATAAATGTACATGCACGTGTATGTGGTAAGATTGGTGGGCTCACTCTGAGATCGCAGACGCTCCTGCTGCGTCCAGATATTAGAAAAGTAGTCAGAGCCACTACACACCAGCTGCGATAGCAACATGGTAAACACCATGAAGCTAAAGCTTAACCAGGAGCTGCCCGCTTGGAAGTACTCGTACCAAACACGAGATGAAATCACTCCCGTTGCTTGGGTCTCAACTAATCCATTATTCCCTTGGCCAACCTTCAGCTGATCTTCAGTTTTAGACTGTAAATATTAATACAGTGATTGGTAGGTAAGCATACAATATACTTTTTTCGGGTCAATTTTAATTGAGGTCTAACTTACCGGCTTATCGTTCCTCCGGCGCTTTCGTAATGGCAGCGAGCTATCAGACACAACATCAACATCCTCATCTTCGTCCTGGTCTTCTTCTTCAAGTGAACTTGCCGTGGGCAGTAATTGAACTTCATTCTCTAATTCATCAGATTTGCTGGGACATTCGAGTAACTTAGCAAAATCTAGATCACTATTGCTAATATCCTGATAAGTGCCCTGGGCTACGATGCGGCCCTGATCCACTATAATAATCCAGTCTGCTTCTGAGAGAAAGTGTACTTGATGGGTGACCAGTATACGGGTAGCCTTCTGCTGAGCCAGTCTGCCGCGTGGTCCAATGATCTCGTCAAAGAGATGTCTCCCAACATGTGCATCTACTGCGCTCAACGGATCATCCAAAAGGTAGATGGATGCGGGTTTATAGACGGCCCGTGCCAGGCTTATGCGAGCTCGTTGACCACCAGATAACGAAGCCCCACGTTCTCCCACAATGGTCTCGTCACCCTTGCACATCTGCTGAAAGTCCGTGGCCAGAGCACAGGCCCTGGTAACTTCCCGGTAGCGCTTTGCATCGTACTGTTCGCCAAAGAGAATATTATTCCTCACAGTTCCTGTGAACAGCCAAGGCTCTTGGGATGCATAGGAGAGTTCCTCATGTATTAAAATACTACCATCAATGATGGGTAATTCCCCCAGTAACAACTGGAGCAAGGAGCTCTTGCCTGATCCAACTGGACCTATGACTGCGCAGAGCTTGCCCTTTTTAACCAACAAATTGAGGTTATGAAGCGTGCGTTGCGGTTTGTCCTTGTCCCAGCTGGCATTGATATCCTTTAGGACAACGGCTTTCTTACCTTTGCCATCTTTTTCCCAGTTCTGGCCAAGGCTATGTACATGCTTACGCTCCTCCTGTTGTAGATACGTCTGAATGCGCACTAGTGAGACCAACGCCTCGGCACGCAAATTAATTGCCAGGGGAAAGTAAACTGCTGCAACAAGCTGAAGTATGTTGTAATATATAACCACGGAGAAAACAAAATCAGCTGTAATATTCTGATTCATTAGGACGGCAGCTGCTAGAGTAATAAATAGTGTTGTGCGTTGAATAAAAAACCTGGTAGTACGCTGGAATCCGTACAGGTAGTTGGCGTATCGAAGCTGTTGCACCTCGCTGCGCCTAGCATCGGACACAATGGACTCAAAAGAGTTTTCCCAAGCGTACATTTTGATAACCTGAATGCCTTGCATAAGTTCGTTCATGATGCCAACGCGTACATCTGTCCGTTTTGCAATGCGCCTCCGTAGATTTGAGGTCAGTTTACTTAGCGCCATCTGAGCCGGCACCGTTTTCAGCAGGAGTCCAAGGACACCAATGACAGCTGGAACTCCAATTTGTAGCCATAAAATGTAGCATGTGACCACCGAGTGGATTGGCAAGATCCATATATAATGCGTGAATACCAAAGCATAGTCTAACCGGCTTACGTCATTTGAGATTAGATTAATTAGGTGACCCGCCGGAGTTGAGCCCACGGTGCGCATAGACAGACGCAGAGTCTTACGATAGACCAGCGAGCAGCAGGCAATTCTCATTCGAGCACCCATTAGACGTTGTCGTAGATACAAATGGTGCCAAAGAATGCAAGCAATAAAATTTATGCCCACCAATAGCCCACCAAGACTGTAAACATTGTACCAAATGGCATTCCATGTGCTATTATTCGACCTATTAGAGGGTGGAGCTGTGTCCAAAGCTTTCGAGTAGTTTACTATGTGGATTGAGTTTAATTAAATTATGTAGATACTTTATCCGGTCTTTCTTACAATTGACGTCTATTGAGTTAAAGCCACTCGAAGAAATGTTAGAATCGGAATCATATGTGTCAGTATCCGGTGCATGTTGCAGCTGCAGCAGCAGTTGCGCTAAAATAGCGGCTATCAACATTCTATAAGATGTGGTCTTAATATAATTACGTTTTCAGTTCGGATTATAAAAGGTTCACTCACTTGAGAGCAATGTATACAACGCACAGAACGCCATTGATGATAAAGGGGCTCCAAAAGCAAGCGAGCAAAGCGTTGCGAAGTCGAGGTATTCGCGATTTACTTAGCGCCCTCGCCCGCTCCTTAAACCACTCACTGAAACAGATAATATGTTTTTGAACCCCATAAATATCAACAAGTACTCACTGCTCCAACCGATTGCCCAGTTGCTCTGAGCGATCATCCTTTAGGCATTCTGTTAGATCGTCTGCACTGAGACCTTGTCGCAGTCCACGTAACAATAATGGCAAAGCCCAAGCAAATGTCAGATGGGATAGAATGCTGGCTTGCTGACATGGATTCTTAAGATTCGGCTTGGCACTACTGTCCATTTTGCAATGAGACCGTGCCGTAAGTGTCTACGTCCGATCGCTTAAAGCGCGCTGATACAACTACGCGCCCGAATAATCTTATCAAAATGTGCTGAATGTGAAAATCTACAATCTTCTTACAATAAATGCAATCTAAACACATAATCTAATGGTAAAATGCCGCACGAATTCTCTACAGTCTGTAATTTTAAGAAATCTTTATTGACAAATAAAAATAATATTAATAATTAATAAATAATCTCGTTCACCTTTCAGAGAAAACAATCAGCTGATCTGTGTAAAAATATAAAATTTCTCTCGGGCTGGCCGCAGAGAAAAATTGCACAAATACGAAAATCGCCGCTTTCATGGTTGCTCACATACGCTCGATCGGTTGTGACTTAAAGATAAGCTTATTTCGA